GTGTGGCGGGGCAGCTGGGCGGACTGACCTTCCTGGATGCCAACGATGTCGCCCACAAGTACTTTGGTGAACTCGTTGAGCTTCTCGCTGCCGAAGTCGTAGCTGCACACGTACAGAGCCTTGGAAGTGAGCAAAGCGACCTTTTCCTCGAGCTTGAGCGCCTGCACCGTATTGGGCTGAAGCGGGGAGCAAAGTGTCCAGCCACCGATGAGCGGCTCGGTATCCGGTACCACTTCGCGTCGACAGCTTTCGATGGCGGAGGTGCGCACACGAGCGAGCCGAATGGACTCGGACGGATCGCGGCTGTTGAGATCGTCGTAGTAGCGCTCGAGGCCGTGAAGGCCAATGGAGCCATACGTGAAGTCGAGCACAGTCTGGCGGAAGAAGTCAGTCACTGCGCCTTGGACCATTCTGTATACCGAGTTGGTTGCATCGTCTGTGAAAAGTCGGGGGAGAAAGATCGCGTCAGCAGGTTGTTTGTCGATTGCCGATCGAAAGGCAACGTACTGATCATGCCCAGGAAACTCCTCTTGCCAGTGCGGGTAAAGTCGACCTTGAGTGCATCGGTATTGGAGTAGCAGTGCGAGATTGCGTTCGCATTGTTGGCCCAGACATCGTTGAAGGCATCGTCGAGCGCCTTGTCGGTGAGCACGAAGCGGACAGCAGAAGTCTCCTCGGCCCTGGCCGCAACATCGGTTCGGGCTGCGCTTGGCGGCGCCACAGCCGTAGCGACCTTTTCCTGGGTCGAAGCCGCTGGCGGCTCATGTTGAGCCGACATGGTGCAGAAGCTGATGCGGCGGTAGTCAGGACAACAGGGTCGATGAGATGCAGGAAGTGAGGGCCAAGCAGCGATTTCCAAACTTGATCTGCATGATGCAGCCGCACGCCCCTGAACCGACCTTTCTTGGGACTTTTTGCAGCTGTTGCTCGAGCCCCTCGCAAACTCCACATTTTGGGCGCGTCGGAAGCAAGACAGAACGCGCTCTCTCCGCATCAGCATTTTTTCCAGCTCATGCCGTTCTTGGTAGCGGAGCAACGATCCCCACAGGAGCTGGCGAGGCTAGGTGAATACCTGAAATTCAGCGAGGTCGTGATCGGGAAGACTATTCGAGCACCAGATCCTCCGAAGCCGCACGTTGGCGTGGATCTTGACATACGAGATCGAGTCGAATTCGCCGAAAGGATCGAGATGCGAGGGGCGAGAGTCCTGAGGGGTGGCGGACAGCAACGAGGTGTCGGATAGTGACCGAGCGATGCGGTCAAGAGGCAGCGTCACGACCTGCCATGCGGTGAGCGTCGCTTCGTCTTGATCTGGTGTTGGTGCCGTTGTCAGGGGAAGATGCAGCAACGGCCGGGATGGCCGACTCTTCATGGGCTCAGAAGGCCCGGCTGTTGCGCTGCTCGCAAGAGGCAAGTAGAGCTTCGGCTTGGTCTGAAAGCTGCTGAGGCGGACAATGCCGCTGCATCCGATTCGGTCCTTGATGCCCACTTCGAACGCGAAAGGCCGAGCGTTGCCGATGGATCGAAACTGGAACGAGATATGCGGCAGCTTGATCCCCAGCTCTGCTTCCAGTGATGGAGGACTGCGAATGAAGGTGTTGCGGATCGCTGGCGACTGGATGTGTAGGACTGTTTCGATGCTGGTGCCTCTCGACGCAGCCTCCACACGCAGCTTGAATCCAGACGTCGCCTCTTCCAAGTCTGACGGTGCTGCTGCGTCGGTCGCATCCGCCAAGATTTGTACGCCCGAGTCTTCCGCCAGTTCAGTGTCACGATGGAGTGTCCATAGCGCCAATGGGTCAGAGGACGTGGACGAGAACAGACTCAGAGACTCGGGCTGCACAGTGTCGCCGAACAGGCTGCGCGAAGCAGGCGCGGGTGGCATCGGCGGGGCTACCGGAGCAGGCGTTGCGAAACCTAGACGCTGAGTGCCATCCCGGCTAGCTGGAATGTCCGCACTGATGGCGTGGCGGAAGGCAGACGGCATTGGGTGTGGAGGGTTGACTTCGTCGCGAGTTACCACCGAAGAATCACACCGCGGAATTCCAGGCTTGGGCTCGCGGCTCGAGGGAATCGCGGCAACTTGGACGGAGCATCCGGGCCGCTCGCTCTCCTTCCTTCCATCGTTCTCCTCTCCACCTCGCCGGCTCGAAGGTGTGACCGACTCTCACATCTTTCCTCCTCTCTGCCCTGCACTCGGCACATCCGAAGCTTGACCGACACCGCGATGGATCAACTCAAGCAGCGCCTCTTCGGGCCGCCCGAAACGTCCTCAGCGCTCGACACGCTGCAAAGCCTGGCCGAGTCCATCTACACGAATCCGCTCAACATCACCCTCTTCCTCGCCGTGCTCTACGTCGTCGTGCCGCTCATTCGACCGTCCTCGCCCAACTCATCCCGCTGGACGCCCACCGTGGCCGAGGCGCGCTCTCACCAGTCGGCACCTTCCGATCGTTACACTTACCTGCCCCCCAACCATCCCGACACTGTCGAGTGGACAAAGTATACGCCGCGCACGCTCGCGGTCTACGACGGCACAGGCACCAGCGCCTCGGAGCAGGACGGCTCGCGCATCCTCCTTGCCATCAACCGAAAGGTCTTTGACGTCACCAAGGGCAAGAACTTCTACGGGCCCGGCGGTCCGTACGGCAACTTTGCCGGCAGAGATGCTAGCAGAGGCATGGCAAAGCAGAGCTTCGACCTCGAGATGCTCACGCCCCTCGACAAGCCCATCGACAAGCTTCAAGATCTCACACCAAGCGAAATGTAAGTGCTCTGCCCTCTTCCGGGCATTCTGCTGGAGGCTCGCCGAGAACGTTCCGCTAATCCTTCCTTTTCACAATTCGCAGCAAAAACATGAAGGAGTGGGAGTCTCACTTCACCGGCAAGTACGGCGTCGTCGGCGAGCTCATCGACGAGGCCGAAGCATGATTCTAAACCGCACAACCGAGTACGATCAAATATTTGCGATTCCAACGAGTTTACACGAATCGTCCAAACGGTAGAGTGGAGTGCCTTCCCTTTGCGAAGCTATCGCGCGATGTCATCGCGAGCCGGTGCCCCAGAATCGGTCACCAATGGATCCGCAGCCGGGCGTGATGGCAAAGACGACGCGACTGCCCTTGGCTGGCGACTGCGTGGTGCTCGGCTGCCTCGGCACGTTGGCGCTCGACCCCCGCGCTGCGCCCCTCTCAGCCTGGCTACCGAAACGACCGTCGATGCTGAGCAAAGGCGGTGACGCCAGCAGGTGCAGATCGCTGCGTCTGTTGAGTCCTGGTGACAGATCATCTTCGTCGACAGGAGCGTTGTCTGCGAAGCTGCGCATCGCCTCGCCGGACTCGGTGCGCTGGTGCTTGGCCGCCGCGCTGCTGCTCGCCGATGTTTGCCAAGGAATGCGCAGCTTCTGCAAGCCTGGGTCGACGCCCGCCACCACGATGCGCACGCGCGGGAAGGCACGGTTGAGCGCGTGGATGCCGCCCTGTGAGCTCGCCAGCAGCGTCAGGAAGATAATCTGGTGCTCGGGCACCGAGTGGTCCAGCAGCACGCGGATCGCCATGAACGCCGCTGCACCCGTGCCGATCTGCGCATCCAGCAGGAATACCCACGACTGCTCGGCGGTCTCGCGCCGACGGATGAAGGACGGCAGCGAAACATCGTACAGGTGCGGTTCGCCGTCTTCTTCATTCGACTGGATCAGCAGGCTACCGAGCGACATGGCCGGGAAAGCGCGCCGCAGCGATGGTTCCAGCACCGCACCGGAACGCAGGATCGAGACCGAGCAGAGGCTCGAGACGTTGAGCTCGTGGCCAATGTGCTTGCGTCCGCCGTGGATGGTGATCTCCTTGGGCTTGTAGGGAAGCAGCGTGGTGGCCAGCTCCACCACGAGCGTGCCGACGCGCTTGCAGGCGAACGTGAACTCGGACGTCGGGGTGGATCGGTCGTGCAGGATACTGAGAAGGCCTTGCAACTGCGGCTTCTGCGCCAGCATGATCACGTTCGGTGGCAGGCTCGTATCGTCAGCCACTGACATGCTGGAAATGCCGCGCACGAGCTGCGGTGCCGAGAGGCCGAACGACTCGTTGCGGTTCAGCAGTGGCTTCATCGGCGTTGCGCTCGCGCGTCGTTCGTTCGGCGACCCCAGGCCGTCGTACGGACTCATGGCAACAGCCTGAGCGGGCACTTGTGTCGCAGTGGTCTTGTAAAACTCAGCACGCAGCTTACGTGATCGGTTGCGCAGCTGCTTCTCCATGTGCTGGCTGATAACCTCGATGGCCACCTCGTTGTGCGAGCCGGGCACGATCATGTCGGCGTGGCGAGCGGTCGCCGAGACGAACGTATCGAAAGCAGGCTTGACGAAGCGCAGATACTGGTCGAGCACCGAGTTGACGGAACGGCCTCGCTCGACAATGTCGCGCTTGATCCTGCGCGCCAGCATGAGGTCCGAATCGGCCTGAACGTACACCTTTAGGTCGAAGAGGTCTCGAATCTCGGGATCGTGGAGGACGAAGATGCCCTCCACGATGAGCACAGCGGGGCCGTAGAGGTAGTTGGTCTCCGAGGTCCTCTGATGCTTGACAAAGCTGTATACGGGGATCTCGACCGCCTTGCTCTGACGAAGGTCCTTGATGCATTGCTTGAGGATGTCGTAGTCGAAGGCGTCCGGGTGGTCAAAGTCGTACTGCTCCTGGAACGCCAGCTTGGACTGCTCGGGGGTGAGCGACTTGTAGTACGCATCCTGGCTCACGATGGCGACCCAGGGTACATTGGGCAGTCGCTTCAGGATTTCGCGGGCGACGGACGTCTTTCCACTCGCGGAGCCTCCGGCGATACCAACAACATAGGCGGGCACCGGCTCGCCGACCGAGTTGTACCACGGCGCACGGCCAGCATCGGTGAGCACGATGGTCTTGGAGCGAGTAGCAGCGGACGTGCCTGAGCCTGAGGGCTTTGCTGATGGCGTCGCTGCACCGAGCGAGGCTGTGGAAGACATCATCGACGGCGAGGGATCCGCTGCAGCCACGGCGGCGGCGGCAGCAGCGAGCACGCCGTGGGACGAGCCGGACCCCGGCTTGTCTCCGGGCGTGACGGGTTGCAAGACGGGCGTGCCGTTGCCTGAAGGCCGCTGAACGATCTTCCCCGCCTGCATGGCTGCGATAAGTCTGTATGGCGGTGGTCAAGATACGAAGGACGGCGCAGACGCTCGCTTTGGAGCTCGGGTCAAGAGCGCATGTGGAGCGTCAAAAGCCGTGTGCAGTTGGAGAAAAAAAATCCGCACCTCTCGCTCGACCGGGCCAATTGGACGGAACAGCAGCTGCACACGGACCGCCTTTTGAGGCTTTTTTGGTCCAGCTTTAAACTCAGGGTCTCGACCAGGCAGACGAGGTGGAGTTCGGCTGCTCGGATCACACGACGGTCCTACCACAAGTCATCGTACCGGAGACGGCCGATTCTGACGAGGCAAGGTAAGGGGGAAGCTGCGGAATGGCGGAGCCCGACGCACAGTGCACGAGCCAAGCGGGTGACGATATCTTGCGGCCGTACCTCTCCTTGGACGCGCCCCGCCTAGTGCTGGATCTCCGGCCAGACGCAGCCTTTCATCGCGAGCATCTGGTCCAGTCGTACCACATCGCGCCGGTCTCGGAGCTCAAGTCTCGCTACAGCTATCTGCCACCGCGCAACGTGCCTTTCCTCGTGCTTGCCGACGCTCTGCAGCGAGACGACGTGATCGAGGCTTTCGCTACGATCTCGTCTGCGCGGATCGTCCTTCTCGGTGATGAACGTGTCCATGACCAAGGTGCGGCTCCACCAGGTGGGGTACGGCTTTGTAGCTCGACCGCATTCTTCGACTCCGCTCGACAGCTAGGACTGGTACGCAGCTCCACGGACCACCAACAACGCATCGCTGCCGACGATAAGCAAGACGTTCCAACGCTGCTCTTTCGTCCCTCGAATGCCGTGCGCCGGACGGTGTTGCAGCTCGAAGCCAAGCCGCAAGTCGACTTGAGCCCGCGGAGGGTGCTTGATCTAGGCTGTGGCGCTGCGCGTGATCTGGCATGGATCTTGCACGGCTCGCGCACACGCTCTGCTGCCGCTTCGAGCCGCGTCGCTTGGACCGGCGTCGCCATCGACAACTGGAAAGCTGCGCTGCGTCGAGCCGAGCAACTCATGGACGACCTCCACCTCGACCCGTCTGCCTCGCAGCCACAGCCGTCTACCCAGTCCAGCCCGGCATGCGAAAAGCTGCTGTGGGCCAAATGCACCGACACCGGCGAACTCGAGCCTCTGGTAGGCACGGGCAAAGGACGTTCTATTCGCTCTGCGGCCGAAGACGCAGATCTGTGGAACGAGTACGTCCAAGTGGGCCTTGAACCTCTGCTTCCATCTGTCAAAGCGCTCGACAAGGACAGTCCGCACGCGCAGTTCGACCTGATCCTATGTGTGCGCTTTCACCCGCGCGCTCTGCTTCCTCGACTAGACCGTCTCGTCCGCCCGGGCGGAGTGGTTCTGCTCAGCCACTTTGTCACATTGTCCGACGCAGAGCGCGACGCTGCTGCACAAGCGCATCCGCATGCGACGCTCGACTACGACTCTCCGCCGCATGAGGGCCGCATCCAGCCTGGCGAGGCAGAGGCCCTGGTCGATGCGTGGAACCGATCGCCAGACTCGCTCCATACCTGGAGAGTAGCCGATAGCGTGTTGGAACCCATCGAAGACGGCAGGATCATCAAAAGTGTCGCTCTATGCAAGACACGGCGGGCGTCCGCATAGCTGCCGCCATCCTAATTGTACCTGTATGCCATCTCCGTTTCGTTGTGCGCGTGCAAGAGCTCGAGATCATCGCCAGGATGGATCGTCGATGCTCGTCACCACCGTATACGGTGCCAGGAGATGCGACATCAGCCAGTCGCCGTTGGGCAGATCATTGTTATCCGCTGCACGTGTAGATTGGTTATTCATCGTAAGTCAGCGATGTACAATCTTGATCGCCTACATCGAGCTCGCTTACCTCTCCAAATCGCCTCTTCCGTGTCCTTGGCTACGCCGGTGGCGACGTGTCTTGTGATCAGGCGCGTCTTTGCGTCCTCTTTGGAGATCTCAAACACGAGCCTGACATCAAACTGCTCGGCTGCGCGCTTCCATTCGCCCACATCGCAGTTGCAATACAGTCCTTCGAACACTGCGACGCGATGGCTGGGCAGCACTGCCACATCGTCTTCCAGCGGATCCTTCTTGGCATGGTCGAACGAAGGCGCGTACAGCGGCGTCGAAGTGGTAATCTTGACCGTCGCGACAAAGTCTGCAAAGCGCTTGGCATCGAACGTCCATTCGGCACCGCGTCGATCGAAAGCTTCCTGTGCGTTAGGGAACGTGGACAGCACCGAACGAGGATAGTGCCACCCATCCATGCCCACGCAGATCGCCACATCTTCACGCCTTGCCCCCTCCAAGCGTGATTGCCATGCATAATTGAGAGCTCTGACCAGATTGACGGCAAGAAGCGATTTGCCCGATCCCGGAATGCCAGAGATCCCCACCAGAACTCGCCGTCCCCCTTCGAGCCTACCAAGACCGAGGAGAGTTAGCACATCGCAAGGAACTTGATCGCAGCGCGTGGCGCAGCTCACCTCTTGACTTGCTCGAGCAGATCGCTGACCAGCCGATCCACTTGGTCTTGCATCTCTGTATCTCCGCTCGAGTCGCCGGCTCGACAGGTGGAATGGTCTGCAGATGATGGTCAGCAATGAAACCCGAATCGCACGGTCCACTCTCTTGGCCAAATTCTCCACATCGGCTCGCCTTTCAGAAATGGCCGACCGAAAATGCGGCTTTTAAAAACGTGCAAATCATCAACCGTGCAGAAGAGTTCTTCGGCTTCTGAGTGTCCTTCCATCTGCTGAGGCCACATCCACAGCCGTCTCAGGACCAACTCGCACTTCGCAGTTCAGAAAGCCATTGTGATCAGGTTGAAGCATATCCAGTGTAGTTCCATCGGGTATAACCATCGAGATTCCTGAGTAAAGCCTAGCATACTTTCGCACCAGCTGTTGACAAACAAGCGAGGGCAAAAAAGACACGTCAGCCATCGTTCAGCATTGTAGGCTGCCAGCTGGGAGCTACTTACCATTCGTAGAGACGGCGAGGATCAGATTGAATGCCTCGTCGCGATGCTGAACGTTAGCGAGAAGCAACGGCGCCTTGCCATTGTTGCGGACGATCTTGAGTCCCAACGAGCTCCACACCATGAGGCGGATGCTCTTGGTTTTGATGAGCGACTCGATCGCTACGACAGGCGTGCGACCTCGTTTCAGCGAGGGCGAGTGCAGCGGTGTGAAGTAGAGATACTTGGTGTTGACGTGAAGCCGGCCGGGCAAGCCCTTGTACTGGCAGAAGAAGCTGCCGAGCTTGCGCGGCTTGAGCGTCGCATCTTTGGTCGTCTCGACATAGTCAAAGCTGGCGCGCGAAGGATCCTCAATGTCGCCGTACGCGATGCCCTCCTCGCGACGATCAGGCCGCGGCTTGAGCTTCGAGGCGCCGGGAGACCGCACGGCGCGCCGCACATCTTCGGCCGTGCTGAGCTGACCTGCGAATCGGTCAATGTCGAGGTGGCGCTTGCGCAGCAGCTGCACCGCGAACTGCGCATCCGTCGGAGCGCCAAATGTAGCCCACCAGAGCGGCGAGAGAGCCTTGCGGTGAGAGGGGAAGTAGCTCTGCAGCGGCAGAAGGCAGAAGAACGTGATGCCGAGGAAAAAGAAGATGGCCTTGGACACGTACTGCGACGGTGCAAACGTCACAAAGAGGTTGAGAACGCCGAAAAGGATGAGCGTCCTCCGCGTCGCCGCCGAGTTACGCCAGAGGATGAGATTCTTGACCTTTTCGTGAAAGTCGGCCACAAGGCCCATGGCCTCCTGCGTGGGCGCACCAAAGGTGACGATCCATCTCTTGTAGATGTTGAGGATGTCGAGTCGGCTGCGTCGTCGCAGCTTCTCTGACAAGGTGTTGGCTGCCTTGCCTCGAGCCATGCGCATCATGACCTTCTCGTGGAGGTAGCTTTCCGAGGGCGGAAAGTACTTGAAGCGCATAATGTAAAACATGATCGTCAGGATGAACGCTGTCGGGATCATGTTGGTGTACCACAAAACGAAGTAAATCATGGCTGCGGCTGCGGTAGTTTTGGGATCCTCCCATCGGTAGAGACGGCGTAGGCGGAAGGCGAGGTTCTCCCAGAAGGGCGCGATGGTGTAGAGACGCTCGAGATGCGAGCGGATGAGGCCTTCGCGGTAGCCTCGGTCGGGGTGATGGTCGATTTCCTCGGGAGCGAGCTTTTCGACGAGCGCGAGGATGTAGGCGATGCAGAAGGCGACGCCATCGACTCCCTCGTCTTCGGCATTGACTCGCAATTCGTCGCGTAGAGACATGGCGTGTCGTGCGTCGTCGCCGGAAGACGGGACAACCAGATCCCAGTCTTCATCCTCTTCCTCCTCCACCGTGTAGGCGCTGGACGCCTTGCCTTTGGAGGAGTGCTGCTTTTTGAGCGTCTTTGCCTTTTCCTTTTTTTTGTTCGGCGACGACATATTGGTTGGTTGAGGATGCAATTCGGCGTCGAGGTCATCATCTGTCGACCGAGATCGTGACACACCGCCTGTCCCGGACGATGTTCGGCCTTCCCCTGTTAGCTTTGTGCCCGCCTTGGCGATGGACGGCGCCTCGAGACTCTCCGAGAGATGGTGCAGACCCCGATCGACGCGCGTGAGCATGGAGGGACGCTTTCTGTCCGACACTGCTGCACTGTCATCGTCGGGAGAGACACGAAAGTCTGACCACTTTGGCATCCTGTACTTTTGATTTCGGGAAGGGCGTGTAACGGTGACCTCGCGGGTGTGTCGTGCGAAGTTCTGCAAGAAAGTCTCGAGCTCGATGTCCTCGAGTTCGAGCAAAGGTTGGCTGAGCGCCTTGGAGGCGCCGCCGCTGTAGGCACTATAGCCGCTTTGCGCGTCCTTGTTTTCGCTGAGCGAGCGTTCTTTCTCGCGAGCGGCATGGAGCAAGTCGTAGTCAAGGCCTGCTGCAACTTCGCCTTTGGAATTGAAGCGGAGACTGTCGTAGCCGTCGGCCTCGCGGATGAGATGCGCAATGGTGTCGTCTGAACCGTCCGAGTCGTAGTCCTGGTGGTGGTCCGCCAAGAAGAGATCGTCGTGTCCGTCTCCTCCATCTCCTACGGGGGCGAAGACGTCGATGTCCGGGTCCTCAAGGGATGTGGGTGCGTGCAGCGGTGCAGAGGTTGCCTGAGAGCGCCGCAGATCCTCGGGCGGAGTGTCGCGACTGACGTTGTAGAGGCCACCAGGAAAGTGACGGGTCGCGTCGCTTCTCACAAGATCAAGGTTAGCCGGCTGAGAGGACAGATAGTGCGGAGCTGCTTCCGACTCGGAGTGCTCATCGTGGCTCTCGATATCCGAGTCATGAAGCTGCGCTTTCGATTTGCGCGACCCGAAGATTTTGCGCTGTCGGATCCCGTCGATGCTGCCGAAGGAGGCCTGCTTTGACTTGGAGCGACGGTGCTGCTCAGTGGCTAGAGCCTGCTCCAGGTTATCTGGTCGGAATGGTTTCTTGGAATCCGAGGCCCACGGAGAGCGGCTGGGCGTCTGAGAGCCGCTGGCGACTTGGGATCGGGGGTCGGAGGCGGCGCTGTGCTCGTGCTTGTCATCCGAGGAATGATGCCTGAACTTGGAGAGGAGTTTGGAACCGATTGACTTCCGCTTTGTGTCGGTTTCGAGCGCATCATCAGTACCGTTGGTGGCGCGTTTACTTTGTCGAGGGATGACCGGGTGCTTGACCGATGCCAGCTCGTGGCGTGGCGATGAAGCTGCGGCGGGAGGCTCGACGACAGGTCTTCCGCTGACGTGTGGATGCTGCGGAACAGCCGAAAGGCGCGGATCGGCTTCGGAGGTTATCGACGAGGCATTACTGTCTGCATCTCCTCGGACAGGCTCCGACGAGCCAGGCACGCGAAAGGACAACATGCTGCGTTGCGCCGATGGTGAGGGATTTGCGTGGGATGGTGGATGGGTTCGGACGAGCCGAAACGGGCTTCGTGACCTGGGTCTAGAGATGCACCATCACTTTCACTGTTGCGATGGCGGTGGCGTGTGACTGATCCGGAAGCGATCGGATGAGCCGTGCATCTAGAGTGAGGATGATGGCGGTGCGAAGTGCAGACCGCCGTCAATCGAGCATGAATGCAGAACTGTGGATGCGGGCGCGATTTGGCCGCGGATGCACTTCGATGATCCATTCACCGGCGGGCCCCATCGCCGACACTATTTTTGCAGACGCAACCACTACTTTGCAGGCATCATGTGGAGCAGCTGTGTGCCGTCGCGAGAGGATTGCACCCAGGGTCTTTTGCACCAGACACCTTCGCATGCGGGGAAGCTCCGAAGGAGGCACAGTCACGTAAGGCGCGAAAACGCGCGTGGAAGCGAGCGCACGCGGACGCTTGCTCGATGTAACACTGCAATCATTTTGCGCCGTGGCCCGCCTCGCCGCAGCCAAATATCCTTGCCTTGAAGAGGATCCCAGCCCACCCTCTTTGTTTAACATCACCCGACCTCGCTGCATGGGCATCTGTGTGGCTGGGAAATCGAGCAAGTGCAGGATGATTTGCTGCATCTGACCGATTGGTGATGTGTTCCGAAGATACAGTTGCAAGCTAGTGCTTCTTCACGCCTGAGCCCACCACAAAAGATCAATCGGCGATGGCTGTCGACTTGCTCAAAGATCTTCCCTTCGAGCATGATCATTGAGAAAAAGCCCTCGCTGGAATCAAGGATTGGAGCAGACAGGACTGCGGAGCCGGCAACAGCACAATGTCTACATCCGCCACCGACACACTCGAGGGGCCCTTGAAGGGCTGCCCCATCGAAGTCGATTCGGTCTGTACCTGTCTTGCCTTGTGAGGCTGCATTGCACTCTTGTAACCACTTCCAGTCTGCGACGACTCCTCAATAATAGTCCACCCAACCAACCCACTCGGGCTCTCATTTCTGTGCAGCGCACTTCCTGCATCACTCTTTCAGGCTTGCTTTCCGAAGAGCCCTCGCTCTTGGCAACAGCACAACTCCGTCCATCTGAGGCAGGCTGCTCTTGAACTTGCAAATGATGCACTGAAACCCTTCCGACATCCTCGACACAAATCATTGTGGGAACAATGAAGCACGGTCATCGGACCGGTTTCCGCGAGCCCACTTTCCAGGACGCCTTACTTGGCTTGGACTTCATCTGGCCCTTGGCCCCTCCGACGGAAAGGGCGCAGCGCAACGATCATGATGCGAGTGCCACCACATTGCAATCAAACTTCCTCGCAACTGCCGTAGCTCCCACTCGCATGTTCTGCTACCTTGCTACCCCTCCTCTTCCTTTCCTCCGCAATATCCCCTCCTTCCCCATTTGTTTCCATCACGACGGAAGTAACCTCTCTCGCGCGCAACCCCGGCTTCAGCGCCTCTTGGACTCTGAGCTCGATCATGCTGCCCATTTTCGCACCTTCCTAGCTCACTAATTCCCTCACTTCCGTCCCAGTCGTCACGATGCGCATCCTGACCTCGCGCCTACTCGTGGCGACCATTGTCCTGCTTCTCCTCGCTGCCTCGTGCCAAGCCTCTGTCAGTACGAGCCATCAGAGCCATGACTTCTTCGAAGCAGCACCTTCCTCTCACCATCTTCAAAAGAGAGTCGACGAGGAGACGGTCGCATCCGCGTGGTCCAAGGCACAGGTCCCCGAAAGGCTTCGAAATTGGAAGATTTTCCAGGATGGCGGTGGGTTCCGAGAGACGATTCGCAAAGGCTACATTGGCTTCCTGCGCAAGCTCGACAAGCTGCACGAGCCGTATCCAGAATTCCGGCACATCAAGAAAGAATGGATCTACGAGAAGGATCTGCGTCAACACTATGTGCTTCCTCGTGTGCTTCGTATTCCTGCCATTACTCAAGAGACCGCCATCCCAAATCTCAAACCCTTCGTAGCGGCCCTCAAGGATGCAGACTCCGAGCTCAAGCTCAATACGGAAGCACGCGAGCGTGTGCCCACTCTTTCCGAGCACCTTGACGAGAAAGAGGCCGAGGCAACGGCGGCCGATTCGGATGCACCGCCATCCAACAGAAACAATGCTGGTACGGACACGTCGCAAGACATCAGTGGGTCTCCGCAGCGCGGCTCGCGACGACGAAGGCCGCGACGGTTCAACCGAAAGAATAGCTTCCAGCAGTTCCGTCCGGCGGAACCTGTGCCAGAGCAGCCTCCGCTGAGCCAGGCCTCGTCTCTCCAACGTTCAGAGATATTGAGCGAGTCTTCATCAGCCAGGGCCAGTCTAGACCATCCAGAGCGGGCGGCCACGCCCGTCCAGGACGAAACAAACGCGGATCAAGAAGCTGACAAGCACCCATCCGCAATGCGAGGCTTTCGCGACTCCATCATGAAGTTCCAGGATCGATTTGAACGGATCAAGAAATTCCGAGACGACCAGATCGGCAAGGCCTCACTTCACTATCAAGCACCGACGCAAGCATTCGCACCTCACAGTGTACTTTCTCCCGAGGAGATCGGTCTGAGTCCGGTCCGTCTTCCGACCATCCGCTCCGGTGATTCTAGTCTGGAGCCCACGCCTCGTGTCGACGATGGAAAAGGCAACGAGGCGGATGTTTCGAACAGCGTCTCCCCGGCCCTTCGCAACAGTGACCCCTTTGGACATTCTACAGGCTTGCATCGGTCCGGCTCGGTCGAGTCGCAATGGAACGGCAAGACGGATCCCTCTCCACCGCTTTCTCCCTACCACAGCTCCACGCCGAGATATGGCGGACGTACGGGCACTCAAACCCCAGGAGAGCCTGGTCTGCCGTACAACTACGCCGAGATTCTCCATGCGGCTCGTGTCAGGCATGGGTTTGTTCAAAGGACGCAGAATCCCGCCGATGCATCCAAGCAGTCGCTCTGGAGGGGAAGCGAAAGGGCCGGCTCAGGCAGTGACACTGCGTCCGAGAGCGGCTTGGGAGAAATGTCGCCTTCTCGGTCGGCCATCCAGAGGATGCAAGAGGAGGCGGATAAGCACAATATCGGCTATGTTGTCTATGATGGACCTACGTCGCCAGGCGTCCGCACACCGCGGTCACCGGTCAGCGATGCGGAAGCGTTCCCTGCCCGGCCCGTTCCACCCGAGCTCAAGCCGGAGGTGGATGCTCAGACAGACCCGAGGCTACGAAACGCTGCCTCTGGCCGGCGGGCGAGGACCAAAGATATCACCCGCCCAGCGCCTCTTGGATCCTTGAACGTGCCGCCGCGCTTCGAAGCCAGCCAGAAGAGCTTAGGCAGTGCTGACCCTTTGCCCGGGTTGGAGTCGTCTGCCGCCGAGCAATCGCCTGCAGCCAAGCGCAAGCGGCCGAGCGCGCTGGGTGAGCCTTCCAGCTCACCTTCTCCAAAGAGCTTTGTCGGATTCGGACCGCCGCCTGGCGAGCTGCCGTCGCCGCAATTCGCCGGATTCCAACGCTCAATATCTGGCAAAGACCAACCAAAAGTTGCAGACAATCCTCCCAACACTAGTCCTAGTCCGATCATGGACCCTTCGGTTCCAGCTTCGGTCATCTTCCGCCGTCAACGCCTTCAGAACCTGGTGCGTACGGACCCCAACTATCTCTCCAAGCTTCGCGGCAGCACGGTTGCCGCGAGCGAGGCCAACATCCGAATGGCGCGCGATCCCAATGCCGCACGCTCCGGCCGGGACTCTCCCGATCTCGGCCGAGCACCCACCTTCTCCCCGAGAACCATGCCGATTCAGCAGGACTGAGATCTGGCTCCAACAACGCTCTCTTTACCGTTCCTCACCTCGTAATCTGGCGACTACGCGTTCGTCGTCCTGTCCCTCCTCTCTTGTCTCCTCGCTCTCTTTCAACCTAACCTCACCGTTTCAACCTAACCTCACCGTTGCCTCACCGCGCGCGTCAACGAGACTCTGGAAGCATTGATTGTCTGTCAAAAAATGGAAGATGGGACTAAGCCAGCTGCGGACGGTTGGTGATGCCACAAATGAGTTCGGCGAGGAGTTCGTCTCCGGAGCCAGAGGCGATGATGGCCTGCTGCTTTTTGATCTCCTCGTCGCTGCTGGCCGTGGGTCCTGCGCGCTTACCAAGACGCTGGTTGCGGAAGTAGTGCGAGAGCAAAAAGGCGACGTCCAACGACTGTTCAAAGTTGAGACGCGGGTCGCAGTGGCTCTTGTATCCGCGCTCGAGGTCCTTGGGATCCAATCGCATCGAGCCGCCAAAGCACTCGGTGACGTCCTTGTCGCCCGTCAGCTCGAGATGCACACCGCCGAGGTGGAGCGTGGGGAAGTCGGACGAGATGATCTGGAGGAATGCGAGGATCTCGGAGATGATGTCGCCGAAAGAGCGCGTCTTGAGCGGCTGCGCGTTGGGATCCGAGGAGGCGGGCGGGTAGGGGCTCGTCTGAGTGTTGCCGTGCATGGGGTCGCACAGCAAGATGATTGAGTCCTTGTGGTTGCTCGCCGCGATCGCCTGGAGCAATGGGGGAAGGTGCGTAGCGACCTTGGCAGCGCCGAGACGGATGATGACCATGACTCGTCCCTTTTCCTTGCCGTACACCACCGCGGGCGCACCACTGGGCGTAGCCCAACCGCTGGCACGAGCCGCGGTGGCAGCTGCCGGAATCGGAACGTCAGGATTGAGGATATCGAGAATGTCGATGAGCTCCTGGGGCTTCATGGAAGGTCCTACCTTGATGCCGACGGGGTTGCGGATGGAGGAGAAAAAGTCGACGTGTGCGCCGTCGAGCTGCCTTGTCCTGTCGCCGAGCCAGATGGTGTGAGCGGAGAGATCGTAGCGTTCGAGGGTCTCGTTGTCGAGAGCACCGCTGGCAAGGTCGGACGCATGCACGTTGCGTGCTGGGCTGGGCTTGTCTGCGGTGGGCTTGCGCACGAGGCGGGTGAGTGCCTCTTCGTATGCGAGCGAGAGACCCTCGTGGCTGATAAAGTAGTCGACCGAGTTGAGCACGCTGCTGGAGGAGAAGGTGCTTGGGTCTGCGCCGATGGTCTTCATGAAGTCGAGCGCATCGGTGAGCGAGTCGACGACCGATTCGAACTCGGCCTGAAGGGCGCTCGACTGGACGTGCTGGAACGACCACTGGCGCGGGGCATGCAGGTCAGCCAGACCGCTGGCGAGCTCGGAGCGGATGTGGTTGAGCGTAGCGGCAGAATGGAAGTAGGCCTGAAGCAGACGCTCGGGATCGGGAATGCGACCGCTGGCAGGCTCTGCGCTGAAGGCGTTGATGTTGTCGCCGCGGAAGGAGATGATCTCGTGCTTGGTTGCCTCGCCGGTGGCCGGGTCGATCTTGGTGATGATTTCGGTCGGCTTGGAGCGTGGCTTGGCGTACTGACCGGCGATACGACCGATACGCACGACAGGCTTGCGTGCGCCCCAAATGAGGATGAGACTCATGAGAAGCGAAAGCTTAAGTTTGGCCTGGATCTGCTCTGGGTTGCAGTAGTCGAAGAGCTCGGCACAGTCACCGGTCTGAAGGAGGAAAGCGTTTCCCTCTGCGACAGAGGCGAGCTGTGTGCGGAGACGATCGATCTCGTTGGGTGATACGAGGCCTGGCAGTCGGCCAATCTTGCCCATGACGGACTGAAACGCTTCGGCCGACGGGTAGTCGACCTGCTGCGCCTCGTTCTTGGACTTCCAGGTGGGGTTGGCATGGTATTCGCGAGCAGACACCGAGGCGCCGGCGGAGGGAAGGTGTGGTGTCGACGACATTGCAGGTGATAGCGCGGGTGGTGGTGGTGGTGGTGGTGGTGGTGG